GCTGTCAACCATCTGGTAGCTTCCAACACCCTCTTGATGGGCCTGTGCAGCTGTGTTTTATGTTTCCATATGGAGTTGCCAGAGGTCCCTCCCCTTCCAGAATCCCAGCTTCCACAATTAGTGTGGACTCAAAATGAGTTAGTTATGGAGTACATTAGATCCCCAAACCCTCATGGAGCTAATTATATCTTTCTCCCACTCCAGATTATGCTGCTAGTGTAAATTAAGGAAGTCTTACAATTCTATAGTTCTTACTGTGACAGACAATATAGTCATACCTTACTGCCCAATTTTGAATGCTTTTCTTGGCCCTATTTAATGGTTTTTCCAACCTAAAAGACAAACTCTCTTCATTCATAAAATTTCACTTTAGAAAGGATTCCTCTCTTTCTTATTCCTGAATATACCTGGTTCTATTCCTCAAGCATAAGAAATGTGAACTAATCCATTTTTTTCTTGACTTTAAAGTTATTTAGAGCTTTATTTGCATTTATTTGGAAATTATAAATACCATCCTACACCTATATCATGCTGTTTCTTTACTTACAATAATAAATTTGTTTCACTTAATAAAATAAGAAATGAGGTGAAGTTAACAGGTGTATCTATTAAGAACATACATTTAGCAGGCGGTGAGAAGGCCACTCCTCTATCCAGTATCCAATGTCAGTTACAGATCACACATTCTAGAAAATCTGAAATGTAAATAGTTCTTATTTTAAATCTTTGGCTTCCATTGTATAACCAGAGAATCTGGACTGGACTTTGGTTTCCCTCACTCTCCTCTCTTTCCTGTAGTCTTGGCTGTTGGGCCTTTCCTTGTCTTCTCAGGCCCATGTCTTCAGCCACTTTTCTCTGTTGAATACTGCTGCCTGGCACACAGACCCTTAATGAATGTTTGTTGAATTTGTTTCAGAACTCAAACAAGGAAACTTATCTTGTCTGCAGAAATAATACAAGACCAAATATCAGGAAATTAGCTGAAGATTTGATCATGGTAATGATAATTATGATAGTTAGCTTAAGATGATTGGTTTATACTTGCTCAACTCTCTACTGGAAAGTTTAACAATATAATCTCATCTTAGATTGGTTTAATCAACATGACATCAAGCAAGATGACCTCTATTTGACAGGTGAAATAAAGTAATTTATTCACAGCCACATAGCTATCCCAATGAAATATATGCTGAATACCTATGTAGCTGTGGATATATTTCACTGGAATTAATATGCATGTATACTCAATGCCAATATCAATGATTTTTTATCCCTTATTACTTTCATTCTTCATACTTCATGCATTAAATATGAAAATTTTAACAGTCTCTAAATTTTCTTCAAGCTTTAAAGATGTTCCAGATATAAGTCACACATATTTTAAGAAAAATTGGGATTCACTTTTGCTTTTTGATTGAAACCCTAGAATAGACAAAGGAATAATTTTCCAAAGCTGAAAACTTGAGAGCCTTTAAAGTAGAAAGAGAGGGATTTAGGGGCAGTTTGAGTCATACTAAAGTTTTTCAGACAGCCTAAAGGTAGAATTAATGTTGTCTTTTTTCTTTTTCAGATAACAACCAAGACTATATGCTCATGGAAATTTCAAACAATCCCTATCAGAGAGAGAAAATATTATTCTCAATTAATATATGACAAAACCAAGCTTAACTCACTCAAGTTTACATAGCTACTATATGGTAAAACTGGGACCCAAACTCAGATATATTAATTATGAAACCTATAGTCGTATGGGTACACTGTTACTGAATGCTGTTTTTAGCTTATCATTATACATTTAATTCTATTTATTTGTCACTGATTTTTAAATAAATCCCATGGGATGTGGATAAGAAATCTGCGCTGCATATGTGGTGACACCTAACAAGTATCTCATGATGCGTGCCTTTGAGTGCAACTAGATACCTTTGGATCATTCTCAGTCACATACCTCTGAGTTACAAACTCTGCTTTCCTCTCCTGCTAGATACTTCTTTCTACCCAAAGTGTATAGATTAACAGGCATCAAAAGAAAATAGACAATCCACACCAATATGGAGATTTGCAAAGTCTGACCTGAGAAAAATCTCCATAGAGAAAATATAATGTCTGGGTGGGTGACTGACATAATAGAAATCCTTCCTTCTTGAATATGTTCCCAGAGTTCCTTCCATACTTATTAGGAGGGATTATTGACACTTCCAGAAGATACAATCTCAGGAACCCTGATAGAAAATTAACTTTGTTATTAAGAATAATTGAAGTTAGATGTTACTCTGTGCATTAGCTCATCCTGATTTTCATTTTAACTTTCAGTTATGTTGGATGCCATTATTAATCTGCTTGCATACATAAAGCAGAAATTCACAAGTATTTCTTTTTTTTATCTTCAGGAAGAAATGACCTCCAAATTAAGCTACATAGGAAGTGTGTAAATGCTTAGAAAAGACCATTTTAAATCTTGCATCTATTTGGAGAACATAGGGTATTTTCAAAGCTATAATTTTGTATCAAGTAAGCATTAACTCTATTTTATTCAACTATACATTTTGCAAAATAGTACTAATAATATTTTCCTCAAACCAAATTCTTCCCAATGAAATCCAACTGCAATATTCATTTAGAAATTTGATAATGCTCTCTTGTGTGAGTTTTAGGAATAGTTGAAACCCTCATTGCATATAAATTATATCATGGAAAAGCTGTATAAATATTCTATTATGGCACGTGGTGTTCTAAGGATCTGTCAGGATTTCCTTTATACACTCCATTTTGAGTGGTATATAAATCAAATGTAAAAATTCATGTTGGACTGAAACTCAACACAAAAAGCCTCCTCCAGAGGCAAATGCTTTTTTCAAAATGTGGTTTGAATTATGTTGGTCATTTTTAAGTAATAGAAGTGCAGAAAATGTATTTGTGGTTTTGAAGGAGAGAGATTTTTTCCATTTTTATAACTCATTAGGAAACTTTACAGGCCTTTAGACCATTTTGTGGTTTAGTTCTTCTCAGGTTTTCCCCAAAGCAGTATTAAAACTTGAATACTGTCTGCCATGAATCCAATGATTACTGTTCTGAATACAAATGTGTGTAGATATATATAGTTATAAGTATCTTCAACCAGGAGACATTCCAAAAACTATGACTTAGGTAGAAGATTGGGCCTATTTGCTGCCTAGTCTTTGCTCTTGGCATCAAGTCAAATTTAATAAAATAACCCTCTCCTTAACCATACTTCAAAATGTATTCCTTTTAATTGTAAAGCTACTTCTTAATTCATAGAAAAATCCATTAAGTTAAATTCTGCTTCTTTTATGGACCCGTTAAGTCTGTAAGTTCTCTCAATGGTTTTCTCTAATACATAGAGCAAGTTTCAACAGTCTTAAAAGACATTCACTGATTATATTATCACTTTTAAAAGTTTTAAATTTGTGTATGCTATGTATAGAAATTAATTTGTTAAATAGCACTAAATTATTTTGATGATATGGCTAATGTGCTACTAAGTAGTTTCATAAAAATTGAAATTATTATTTTAGCACACATGGAGATTATGATTATATTATCTCTCTTAGTAGCAGGAGTAAAACTCTGAGAGTGTTGATTTGAGGTTAAGGAAATAGGTATAATTCACAAAGCTGATTAAACTACTATTTCAAATAACTTTACAAAGAAATAAAAATAGAAATATTTTGTGTATTTGAATTGGATGAATTTATACAACATTCAGTTAATTAATGCATTAGAACAATGCATTTAGTAACTATGATTTGTTGCTTTACATATGAAAACACTAAGAGGTTAAAATTTTCCCAATGTTGCATCTTATTTTTTAATTAAATTTGGCTTAAAGAATTTGAATCTGGATACCTTGCTTCTAATATAGTTCCCTTTTCATTATTTCATTCAAAAATAATAATTTCTGCTGCAGTTACTAGAATCATTGGGCTTAGGGACAGTTAGGATGGATCACTCAGGATAATCAAGCATTTGTCTGGAGCTAGAGATGCAGCATGGACTTTTCCTCTGGGACCCGGGGAGGAGCAGAAGGGGTCTAAGCCCTCTTGAATGTTTCAGCTACTAACTTAGTGTCATAGAAATTAGCCAACTCTCCACTACAGAGATACCGGAAAGCCAGTGGGGTTCCTCTTTTTTTTTTCTTTCTTTTATTTCACATTATTAAGAAAGCAGGGTTACTAATGAGGGGTCACATCCCAAATCTCTAATCTATGAGTATCTTTACTTCTATTTGGGTCATTTTTTATTGTATGCAATTCACTTTTACTAAATTATTCTAATTTGTGTTCCATATTTGTTACATCAAGTTATGATAATAAAATTCTATATGTAATTTATACAACCGTCACATGCTTCAAACTTTGTTAGTTTATCATTAAAATCATACTTTTATTATTTAACTTAATGCTTAACTCACGCCAAACATCTTTGAATGACTCAGTCAGTAAAATGTTTGCTGTGACATCTAGGGGAAGTTTACAAATTTCTGAAAACTAAGTATATATTGAAATACAGTTTTATGTTAGTCAACAATGGTTCACTGTATACATATTTTTAAACTATTAAAAATAAATATACAGGGCCAGGGATTTAGCTCAGTGGTTTCCCCACCTGCTGTGCAAGCACAAGGACCTGAGTTCAATCCCGGTACCAATAAATAAATAAATAAATAAACAAACAAACATTAAATGTCAAAAGAGTTTTTACATGTTTAAAAATAGTTTATACCTCATGAAGCAAGTAATATAGACATTGCCTTCCCCATCCATCTACTATATTATAACCATAATTTTCCCCCCATTAGAGAAATAATTCCACAGTGCTCTTTTTTAATAATATTGACCTTGTTAAAAATCTGACACCATTGTTTTTACATAGCAAGCGGCATATTTTTAATAAAAAGATTATTTGTTACAACATGTGAAGTAAATAATGACATTAATTTTAAAGATAATGAATAGAAAGAATGTATAATGTATCCTTACCTTGATTTTACCTTTAAACAGCCTTTTTTCTGTGTACTAGAAACTTCTTCCTGTGGCTTTTCAGGCACTGGCTGTTGTTCTTTCTTTTGACAAAGCAATATATAATTTGTGCCATTATTATTTGACCAAAATGTACCCATAGAAGTTTCATAACGTATACAAAACTCAACTTTACTGCCATCTTTTTGATAAGGAGGAACCAATGAAATCTTAAAGGAGAACTGGTCAGTTTCACCATCACATGAATTAGGAACATATTCAGCTAAAATGTCATAATATGTCTGCCAGTCATCTAAGGACATTCTCACATATACTAACTTCTCAAAAGAAACATTCAAAACTCGAATAATACCCTTCATACACGTCGACCCAGGAGGGTACTCTGTTGACTCCAGTATTGCTTTCCGTATTTGAAGCTGTTGCATAAGATCTTTTGAAGAAGGCAAATCAAATAGTGGAGACAAAATATATTCTTCTGTGTGAAAAATATCCTTCCTTAACTCAAAATCTGTTGAAACACTTGGTAATTCCCAAGAATCAAATTCTTTAATGGACACAAGATTGAATCCAAAGCTATCGGCAAATGAAACTCTTCTGGTTTCTGAAGTTGGGGTGTCCAGGTACACGTCTTCAGGAGACTCAGAACTTCTTCTGCTTGGTTGAGGGGAGAAGCCAGGTTTGAATGCAGTTTTAACGTCTTCATCTTCACAAGAAGAATCAGATAAATTAGGAACTCCTAAAAAATTATCTTTGCTAATCTGACTGGGTACTTCAGCAGGCTCCATTGGGCTCTCTGATATCAAATAAGAGAGAACTGTACAACTAGTAGAGGCTGACATTTGAGATACCAAGGCTTAAAATAAGTGTAGTGTTACAGTTGACATTGCAAAAAGGAATCAGCTTTATAAATAGGCCCAAAGGCACGCAAACTATGCTAGCCTGCCTCCAACAGCCTTTAATGTGATAGCATCCACGCTACGCTCGCCAGTATGTTTCACATTTAAGATTCAGTTTTTCAAGTCGCATTTGTTTATGAGCTGAGTTCCAAAGAGATATTTCAAAATCATTTTGTCACTGTTAGAAATTCTGAAAGTTAAGGATAAAACCAGTGTTAATTACTTGATATTAAAAAAATAAAAAAAGAATATTTTAAGAAGAAAATAAAAGTAGTAAAACAGTGCAGAATATATAGATCAAATTAATCTATGGAGCACACAAGGGCAGATAAGGGAACAGAAAATCAGCTATGGGCTTGAAGAGGTATGGAGCCTGCTAATAATAGCGATCACTATTGAGGACTTAGAGTCTAAAAATGTTTACTGTAAGAGTGTTAAAGCAGGAGCTTAAGATTTAAAGGAACAAAGCACAATTTAGATGAAGAAGGTAATGTTTTAAATAAACTATGAAAAGGAGGCAGAGTTTACAGATGCAAGATTGGACTGAGGTAGATTTTCCAGGAGGAAGAAGCAGTCTGAACCAAGATCTGGAACAAAGAATTAACCAAATCTGTTCTTTTAAACAATAGTAAGTTTCTTTTCCTTAAGCCATGGGAAAATACAGCAAGTCAAGTTTCATAACTTGAAAATGTAAGTGGTCCAGGAATAAAATACAAAAATATTCATCTTTGGCAAATTGCCATCTTATGCATACAAAGTAAAAGTGGATATCTTTTCATCTTGGAATTCAACATGAATTTTAAAGTGTGATCAGCCTGTTTGGACTCACACTTTTTTGTGTGCTAATGGAGAACCTACTTAGGAGTGGCAATTTGGTAAAAGCTATAAAATTTTTAAATGCATATGTGCTTTAGCCCAGAAATTCCCCAGCTAGAAATCTGTACTATGGTATTGAATGTATACAAAGATAAATGTAGATATATGTTCAAAATGAAATTGTTTATTTAAAATCTCTAGAAACTCTTTAAATGTCCATCAATGGAGAACTGGATAAGTAATGTTACACTCTTGCTTTAGAATGTTTTGCAGTCATTACAAAGGATTAAGTAGCATCAATTACTGCTATGGGAAAAAAATAACTACAATAAATAGCTAAATAAAAAAGAAAATCTACACAAATATTTGCATAGAAAATTTCTAGTAAGATACAAAAGAAAATGTTCATAGTGCTTCCTTCTATCAGTGGAAGTTGAAGGTTGCAGGATAAAGAGGGCCCTTATGCATTTCACTGTATCATCCTCCATATTGTGTGAAATGTTAGACATGAAGATGGTATTCTTTTAAAATATCTTTAAATTGATTATATTGTATTGAAAAAATAAACTGTTGGGGTGACTAATTGTTTTTTAAAAAGAACAGAGCCCTCGATGGCATTTCCTTTAAATAACAACTTTATAAATATGTTATGACTTACTGAATAATTTGAATCACATAAAAATAGTGTATGGAGAATTCATTTTTCAGAAGTAAACATGAATATTGTTTCAGAGAACAAAGAAATAAAATTATTTAGACTGTACTTCAACCGCATAGCTGGAATGGTTGGTGATGACATGAATTGTTCAAGAATGGCATTTGGTTATCCCCTTGCAAACTTGGTGACAAGGAAGAGACATATTTCAAGGCATCTAAGATATATCCTTATGTAATCAAGGAAATTAGCAACAAATACTTCATAGAACTAGTAAAATAATCCACATGGGCACATAAATAATAGAACAATGAACATTTACTATATAATAAGGTCCTAAAGGAATTTAGCTAGTAATGTAGATGAAGATCCTTGAAACCATATCCTGGCTCTGCTGCTTGCTATTTGGTTGACCTTGAGAATGCTGCTAAAATGGTGTAACCCTCAGTTTCATTAATTGTTACAATGTTAATAATTAATCAGGATGCTTGTGAAATGACTAGCACAGAAACTATAGTAATAGTAACAGTCATTATTTTTATTCCTATATATGTTTTGAAAGCCTGATTCCTGAGATATAACAATAGACTTTGGTAGTTGGAGAGAGAGAGAGAGAGAGAGAGAGAGAGAGAGAGAGAGAGAGAGAGAGAGAAGCAAGCTATAGAAAATCCATATGATTACGGTATGCAACATTTTAGCCTTACAAAACATAAAATCCCTCTACATTAGAAAATGATCCTGTTGTTTGATCTAAACTTTGCCCTTTTTAATGTGTCTCTTTACACACAGCACTTCTATGATTTGTAGTAATCACTGCCTTTCATTTGGAATTTATAACCTTCACATAATTGTAGACAGTTGACATGTTCCCCTTTAGTCACCACTTAGCTAAAGCACAGTGATTTCATCTTTTCAATCCGTTCTCACACGTCAATCCTCCAGTGCTTTTTTTTTTTTTATCATTTTGTTAACTCTTCTATGTATGCCTTCCAGCTTTCCTTTATTTTTCTATTAATGAGATGCCTCCTGATGAAATGTAAGATCATAGCTCAAGTGTCTCTGGAGCATAGAAAGAAACATTACCAGCCTCACCCTTCTGACCTGATATTTGTATTTAGTTAAAATACACAATTCCTTGTTTCATTTCCATATCATAGATCAGACCAACATCCTATTTTCTCATAACCACTACTATACTACTCTGATTTCAACACAACTTTTAACACACTCTTCCCGGCTGCTTAGGTATATCGTTGTTAGCAGAATGAGACTGTTTTTCTTTTTACAAATTAAGATTAAAGTCTTCATGCACCCTCCTTTATTTACTAAAGTTTCTCAAAGGTACTTATAACACAAACATCAGATCAGTCAAGATACCAGTAAGTAGGACATAGACAGCATGTTCAAATAAGATAACACCAAGAGAGTTTATTTTCAAGGATCTATTTATAAAGCATGAACATGAAAAGCCACAAGGGCTAGTGTGACACACTGAGGCTAGTGGCATCAGAGATACTACCATTCCTCAATGGACTAGGAGGCAAAAAATTGTCAGAATTTGAAAGTAGAAAGTGACATAAAGAGTTGATTGGTTAGAAACCGGGTCAGAGAACACAGCCAGCTTAAGATGAACCTTGCCAGGAGTAACCTAGGAGGGCAAAGGCACTGAATTCACTCCCCTTTCCTATGATGTTCACTCATCAGTCAGAGGCCATGGAGATTATTATATTTCATTTGGATTATGCTCCTGGAGGAGGTAGCAGAGTAGAAAAATGATGAAAAGAGTACCATGTAGATTTGGGGGAGCAAACAGAAGATATCATTTATATGTTGTATTCAGTGTCATTATTAATATTATATAAATATATGTCGATCTTAAAATATATGTGTTCCTTCACATGCAGTATGATTGAAATATATGGTGCTTGATTTTTAAAAAATGTATTGCTCTAAAAGACAGTTATTAATAATTTCCCTTGAAATACTCCTCCTTCCTTCTAACCTATTATCCCATCATTTTTGCCACTTTTTAAAGCCGTCTGGGAATTCTCTTCCGTATCTTTAGGAGGTATATTCAAACATACAGTGCATTCCTAGTAAAAACACTACAGTGTGTCCTCATTCACCTTACTCACTGGATCTGGCACCCTGCAGCTTCCAGCTTTTTCCCAAAGTCTTAATCACCATGAAGATAAATGTTTTAAGTTGATTTAGGACAGTGAGGCAACCACAACAGGCTGCTGGCTGATATGAAAAAGGACATTCAGAATTGCTTCAAAAAATGTCAGGAATGATGGAATAAGTGTATTTGAAGTGAGAAGGAGTATTCTGAGAGGGATTAAGGGCAATATATCTTTTACTGAAATGAATTTATTTTAAATTTAAACATTTACCATATTTTTCCATCACATCTTGTATATAGTCCTTTTTAGTGCCATTTGAGTTTCTGCTACCTACTCCTTTTTGTCAAACAAAAAAAAGATTTTAAAAATTAAGGCCTGTAAACTCTGACCCAGTGAAAGAGTCAAATAAAAGAGATTGAGTTTATCAGCTAGTGTCTGGGAAAGAAATGATCTTTCTTGAGGTTATAACTTCACAGTTATCTCCTTACTAGTCCAGATCTTTGTCTATAATCTAAACTCAAGAAATATTGTGTCATGAGGGAATATGGAAGAGTGGTCCTCAACTACTGACACATGTCAAAATCATCAAGAGATGTTCACACTACACAGGCTCCGATGTACTATCAGATTTACAGATTACAGTTTTCCAGGATATTGGTGTTCCACACATGACTCTAGTGCACAGACCTGGTTTAGTTGCAACGTCTACTCAGTCTGTTTACTCAGAGTGAGAAGTTTACATTCTACTTATGAAAACAATTGCAGCTCTCATCCCTCAAATACTAGGTGCTGTTTTTTGCATGGAGGATATAAAATACTTTTACAAAAATCACATTAACTTTACTAGAATTATAGAGTAGTAGGATGTTAAGGGCACTCAGTTATCATTTAGGCCAGTCTGGTCACGTAAGAAAACCAAATTCCAGAACAATGAAGACTCCCATCATTTATTAAGGGAGACTATGAACTCAGTTCTCTCATTTTTAATCCAGTATTCTCCACATTTTACCATTCCTATGCCAACTTCTTGTTTTAGAATTCATAATTAACTAATTAATCATTTTTTGAAAATAATCACTAAAATTCTTTTGTTCTAGATTAAATTTTTTTAATAATTAACTTTTGTGAACTTTCTCTTTTCCATTTGATGAATGATCTCCAGAGGTGTCCGTATAATTTTTCTTCATGACAGGTCTCTCAGCCTTTCTCAACCTATGCCCCCTGTGGTGAATATGCTATCTCAGATTATCTTCTCTCTCCCTTAGAGACTGTGCTATATTTCTGCTTGGGAATGGCTGATCTAAATTACAAAAATGAATCATGTAATCTCT